CCCCCCCGCTGGAGCTTAGTTACTAAGCTCACCATTTTTGCCATCTCGGCAAGTAAACATGGTGAACAGTTGGTGAATGAAGTTTTCATTTATTTGAAAGACATCACTCCAAGTCCAGGATATTTGAAAGGATGTAGAATTTTCAAAATGACTGCTGTCACCCTTGGACCAAAAGTCTTTTCAAGAACTCTTATTCAAGGCTTTTAAGAATCGCAAACGCAGTGGTTACGTTGAATTGTTGATCACCAGCTGGTCAGATTGATTGACCGAAATTTACTTTTCTTAAAACTAAAGCTACTCATGTCTAGGCGATGATGACAACTGTGAATGAAGTCAACAACGATAAAACAAAGGTACCAGATGAATTTATTTTTCATAGTGTTTCAGTCATTTGTTTTACTGCCGAACTTGATGAGTAAATTGATTGACAATCGATGTGCATGTAAGCTTATTATGAAAATTACAGCTGCATATGTATATGCACATGAACAATATTATGGCATCTGTGTTTTTATGTTTTTGTCCATTATTTTGTAGTCCTTGAAATTCACCTTTGAAAATTATACTAAAACAGTTATTCGCCTCAGGCTCAGTGAACATTGGTGAATATTCACCAATGTTCACTTCGCCTTTGGCAAATAATTGTTAATTATTATTGTCATTTAAGCTAAACATTAACAGATACCGTAAATGTTCGAATTAGTGCCTGGGGCGTTTATTACAAATTTAGGAGAAGACGGGAGTGCTTATTCGAGGGGGCACTTAATCGAGAGGGGGCGCTTATTAAATGTTTCCCAAATCGTGGCCTGACATGATCATTTTTTAATACATCATATGCGCATAAACAACAACATAAGCTGTTTATCGACATAAAAAGCTAATCCTAAAGTTTAAATCGCGGCACCGTTGGTCCTTAACGTGTTCAATGTGTTCACTTAACGTGTTCACAAAGTGAAACAATGAACAAATCTAATACTACAAGACGAAAACTATACATCCTTTGTTGTCTCAGTACTCGTCCACATAATGGGGGAAGGGGAGGTGGGAGCTTATTCAAGAACGGGGGTTTATTTTAAATTTTGGTCGATAGGAGGGGCGCTTATTCGAGGGGGGGAATGCGGTACATTTTCGGTACACTCCCAACAGGTTTTATAGCCATTCACAACTGTTATAAAACGTGCAAGCGCTGGGAAACGCTCCCGCGCAAAGGGGCGCGCTTATCGCAGAGGCGTACAATGAATACTTTGGTATCACGAAGGGTGTTAAGGACAGGGCGCTCATGTTTTTTTGTCAACGTATCTTAAGGCTGCATGAATAGAAATGCGCCGTCACACTGTGTTGAAGGCTTAGATAGATCCCACGTGAAATCGCTAATGTTTCTCCGTAGATGAAAGCATTCCATAACAATGTCTTAAATTTCATTTAAGACACTATTTAGTGCTTTGTGCATGGTATCTTTAAGAAGGTCAAGAAAGAGACTGGTCACGCTCAGATTCGTCTCTTTTAGAGGTTTAGTTCAAATGTACCGGTAAACATCCCCGCCCCTTTAATATGATGGCTCTTGCCGGTGAGTGTTCTTTGCAAAAAAGTTACAAGCACACCTTGAAAGTCCTAATATGTCACTTTTCTTTCATTATTGCAGGGAGTGCAGAGAGATAATGCGTGAGATAATGCGTGACTCTCAATTTAACAATCAGTTACTGAGTGTCACGCCACCGTCATGCAAGCCTGTGAATAACATTTTATTTCTCAAGACGCACAAGACAGGCTCAAGTACCGTGACCAATATTCTAAACCGTTATGGTGATAGCAGAGATCTGTTGTTCGCCGTACCAGCTTCAGCAAAGAGTTACACTTTTTACTGGCCTCATTCCTTTGTACCTAAGTTCACTCAGCCAGTCTGGAGAGCACCAAACATCCTCTGCAATCACGCCAGATACAACAAAATTCCCATGAACTGGCTCTTCCCAAAAGAAACAACTCGCTACATCACAATGTTGAGAGAACCAGCCCAGCATTTTGAATCGGTTTTCAACTTTTTCCATCTTGATAAACGTTTTCCAAAATTGCGAAACGTGTCGTCCCCTCTGGAGACGTTTCTTCAGAATGCAACAAGTCATCTTGAACACTTGGATTCTAAACAGAAGAGTAGTTCTATAAACCTGATAAGGAACCCCGCGTTGTTTGAGCTGGGCCTCGATGCAAAATATCACAGCAACCTAACTGTGGTGAGAAATTACATACGGTTCTTACAAAGAGAATTTGACTTAGTTATGCTTATGGAATACTTCGATGAATCGCTGATACTCCTAAAGCGGCGTTTTTGCTGGAAAATTCATGACATTTTGTACTTCAAACTCAACGAAAGGAGGGAAGGAGATAAACAAGAACTTTTAAGCAAAGCGAAAGAACGAATTCGGGAATGGAATTGGGGTGATGCACTGTTGTACGATCTTTTTAATCAAACGCTTTGGAAAATGATAAAAGAAGAAGGTTCTGAATTCTTCACCGATCTCGCCGAGTTTCGAAAAGAGTTAGATTCTATAAAAAGATCTTGCCTGCGAGAAGGGAATTTCCTAACAAAACCATACGCTGGTAGACTAGTGCAGGGTTATGCTCTGAAAGCAAATCTTTCCAAAGAGCTGATTGAAACTTGCAATAGAATGATCACGAATGAGCTTCCATATTTAGATTATCATCGCGAAAGAATGAGCAAACAGCTTCAAAATGTCATGCACAATTATGTGGATCGACCAGATCTTTTATAATAATAGTATCTTGGGTAGTTTAGTTAGTAGTAAGACGGGAAAGCCACGATTTTAAGTTCAGCTTTTCTTTCATTACCTGTTAACCGAAGTCAAGCGTCAACTCGCACATTTGTTGAATAGTTGGCAAGTGTAATTTTTTTTAGTAGTTTGAATGGAATATCCATCTTTTCTTATTTATTGTATCTTTGAACCTTTAATATATGGAAAGTAGCATTTCTATCTTTGATGTATTTATTCCAACTACAGTACAGTCCTTTTGATATGGGAGTACCCCCCCGGGGGGGGGGTTGACGCCATCAAAAGTTCTGTAAACCAATCGAACGCATTTTTATTTCATTCCACTCGTTCTGGTCTAGTTTAAGGTAACACACCAATTAGACTATTAGGAAATGGGTAGGTCTGAACGCTCAACACAAGTTACATTTGATCTTGGTCACTATTATGCTGGTTTGCTCATAACACTCCGTGACGGCTGGGTCACGTCATAACAGTAAGTTCACAGATGTTATACATTAACTCTTGGACGTACAAGATTGGGGAGAGGGGGGTAGATACCACTCCCCCCACAAGGTTTTATCAAAGTTTTGAAAAGACGATTTACTCTTTTACCTAATGACACTTAAAGATTTTCACTATATGGTAATTAATCTGGTATGCTTTTATTTTTT